TCTAAAAAAATTCAATCCAATATTTTTATAATGCATTTTTACAACCCCGGTTATAAGTATTACTTCTTAACTATTTATTCCTTTCTCCTATTCTTTTATAGGTTTTATTAGTCGATCCAACATATTGTGCTGTTACCGATGCTGACCGGCAAGCAAAACAAGTTAGTTTATTAAAAGCTGCAGAAGAAACCTGTCTTTTGCCCGTTGATGAGCATGAAACACGGATCGTGGCTGAGAAATTTAATTTTGTCACCGAATTATTTTACATGACACACAAAGCATTTGAGTTAGGCTATCGGGCCTGTATTGAACGTTACACACGCATGACGCGCGAACTACATAGTTTACAAACAGCATATCATGATGTGGCACAATCAAATCCAAACAACGATTTAGCTAAAAATTTATTGCGTATGCTGAAGGAGCAAATGCAGCAATATCTCTGCATGCGTAATGGGCTAATGGAACCCACAAATGATACGCATATACTAAAATTTTTCGAAGCAACCACCATTTGGCTAACGGAAATCGCCCTAATTACTGAAGATGAGTTTAAGTCTGCCCTCGCGAAGCAAGACTTTGCACCGCATACACGTAAAGAGCGTCAAATACCCGATAAATGTGACTTTATACCGCCATATTTGAAGTCAGTACCCGAAAATGTTATTGACAATGTAGTTGCTTATCTAAGTTTTAGTCGCCATTTTCCACCCGGTCAATTCATTGAGATTTATCAATCATCACATGACGCGCTATTCAAAATGATTGTTTTATTTATGGGTAGTGCAGAACTCGTTAAGAATCCACATTTGCGTGCTAAGCTTGCTGAAGCACTGGAATTTTTGTTACCCAAGCAAATTTCCGGCAGTATGCGTAATTCTTTCATAACTCGTGTGTTCGATAGTAATATGGATCGACTGAAGGTGGTGCGCAGTTTGTTAAATGTATTTGTTAGCATCGAAATGACTGGACAATCAGTGCAATTTGAGCAAAAATTCAACTACCGTCGGCCAATGTATGCCATTATGGAGTACTTGTGGACCAAAGAGGATCAGGTGCAATGTTTTAAGGATTTGGCTAGAGAAGCAGAAGAAAATATGGAGGCTATTGAACCGCCACTGTTTCTCCGATTCATTAATTTACTTATTAACGATGCTATATTTTTGTTGGGTAAGTTGGGTGCTGCAAAAATATTTACATATTTTAGTTTGCTTAAGGAAATTATTTCCAATGCTTTCTTACGATTTAGTTTATCTACTTTTTACCTGTATTTTTATACCGTGAACACGGCACATTAAGATTGCCACGAAGTTTGTAACACCGAGAAAGAAAGGTCGGGGCCATGTCCGTCTGTCTGTTTGTATATACGCACTAGTCTCTCAGTTTTTGGTATACTGATTGAATTTTGCGCATGTGCTTTTCTCACCAAGAACGTGTTTATTTGTCGTATCCTCCGATATCGGACCACTATCGCATACAGCTGCCATACAAACCGACCGATCAAAATCAAGCTCTAGTTTTTTTTAGTTTTTTTGTTTTAAGAAACTCTAAAATATCCGAAGAAATTCTTCAGATCGGAAGAACTTTTATGCTATAAAAAGTTCACAGGTAGAATGCTATTAGAACTTCGGTGCAGCCGAAGTTACGTTTTCTCTTGTTTACCTCGCGTTACGTTTGCATTTGATATAATATAATTCATCCCTTTAGATGAATCGCTCTCCAATTTGGAACAAATACGACAACTACAAGAGGCACAGAGTCGTGGTGAATGGGATGCACTATCACAGAACGATCGGCAACAGCAGTTATCGAGTCTACATCATTTAGGTCAGATGGCTCGCATCGACAATATTCTCGGCCGTGATACGATCAATATTCTCAAGTTGCTTACAACTGAGATTAAAAGTATTTTTTGTCACAATAGCATGGTCGATCGAATTGCCGCAATGCTGAACTATTTCCTCTTGAATTTGGTCGGACCACAAAAGGAGCGTTTCAAGGTAAAAGATAAGAAAGAATTTGAATTTGATCCAGCCCAGACGGTGTTGGAAATTTGTCGCATCTACATAAATCTCAGTAGCAGTGAACAATTTTGTTTGGCCATTTCACAAGATGGTCGCTCGTATAGCTCAGAACTGTTCAATTATGCCGAGAATATACTAATACGCATTGGTGGTGGGCAATTAATTGGCGAAATAAGTGATTTTGCCGCTAAAGTACAACGCATGGAGTTGCAATATCGCGAAGAACAAGAATTCATGGCTGATGCACCCGATGAATATCTCGATCCGATTATGTCTACGTTAATGACAGATCCGGTAATACTGCCCAGCTCGAAAGTGACTGTGGATCGCTCGACTATAGCACGGCATTTGCTTAGTGATCAAACAGATCCCTTTAATCGTGCGCCTCTGACAATGGATAAGGTGCAACCGAACAACGAACTGAAGCAGAAAATCGAAACATGGATGACGGAGAAACGTGCCAGCGGACGCGCCGCGAAAAGTTGAAGACGATTGTGTTGCGTGAAATAGCCAAAGATGTTAATAGTTGTAAGTGGCGCGTTTGTTCATAGCTTTTTGTTTTTGTTTCGTTTCGTTTTATTTTGGAAAGTGCAGCTATGTTTGGCGTTGCGACAGTAAATATTTTCATGTATATAAATAAATATATACATTAATGAATTCGTTAAAGCCTTCAAATTTTGCCCAACAATAATTTCACATTCCATAAATCCATTCAATTCATGCAGAATTCAAATTTTAATCAAAATTTTAAACAACAGATGGAAAATAATTTAAGCTTGGGCTTGAAATGGTGCTAGATGGGAACCTTGCAGGTTTACCTATTTAATTTAATTTTAATCAACATAAAATGTATAAGTTTCGCAATAATCAAATGTTAAAGTTTCGAACACTTTTTATTTAGTCTGTTATTTTTTTTCGCAAATTTGTTATTAAATTTCACATTAATTTATTGCACAATAGCTCAAATATGCTTTGGTTCTGTTAAAAATTTAAATTATGTTTGGTAAATACAATATACTGATTTATTTATGAAAATATGTCTCCAACACAGTAAACGCAATAGAAAACTTTTTAGTGTACCCAGATAAGCTAACGCGGCCAGCAGCGGTGGACAGCGACCCTGCCAATCATCTAATGGATGTTTTGCAATAATATCGATAAGCATTTATACCAATTATGTATAATATGTACGTAGATGTATATTGAGTTCCACTAAATTCGTATTTTTGTTCAAATAAAATACAAAAAAAAATAACAAATGCCACATTTTATCATTTAATTACGAATTTCACAAAATCTGTTTATTATACGAGTACTCTCGCAACAAAGTTGCTAAGGAGAGTATTATAGTTTTGTTCACATAAGGGTTATTTGTAAGTCCTAAAACTAAAAGAGTCAGATATAGGGTTATATATACCAAGTGATCAGGGTGACAAGTAGAGTTGAAATCCGGATGTCTGTCTGTCCGTCCGTCCGTGCAAGCTGTAACTTGAGTAAAAATTGAAATATCATGATGAAACTTGGCACACGTATTTCTTGGCTCCATAAGAAGGTTAAGTTCGAAGATGGGCAAAATCGGCCCACTGCCACGCCCACAAAATGGCGAAAACCACCACCTATAAAGTATCATAACTAAGCCATAAATAAAGATATTAAAGTGAAATTTGGTACAAAGGATCGCATTACGTAATTTTTTTGGAAAAGTGGGCGTGGCTCCGGAAACTACTATACCTATGTCAACCAAACTCTATAGAGTCGCTTCCTTCAGGCATTTTCATATACGGTTCAAAATTGGAAGAAATCGGATAATCTCCATGCCCACCTCCCATACAAAGGTTATGTTGAAAATCACTAAAAGTGCGTTAACCGACTAACAAAAAACATCAGAAATACTAAATGGAATTATGGAAGAAATGGCAGAAGGAAGCTGCACCCAGGTTTTTTCTAAATAGAAAATAGGCGTGGCATCGCCCACCTATGGACCAAAAACGATATCTCAGGAAGTACTCGACCGATTTCAATGAAATTCGGTATATAATATTTTCTTAACACCCTGATGACATGTTCGAAATATGGGTAAAATCGGTTCACAGACACGCCTTCTTCCAATATAACGCAATTAGAATTCCATCTGATGCCTTCTCTGTATATTATATACATTAGTAACCAATGGTGATAGCGGAATAAAACTTTACACAAATACGGAATTTGAGCTGAGGTATTCTTTGTGGAAAAATTGTCATGATTGGACTATAACTTTTCAATACAATTAAAATAAATGAAAATACAATTCAATATTCAAAGTACACAAATTGATCTAATCTAATTAATTTTACAGCAAAATAAAAAAATATGTAAATGACGGATAATGAAATCTCGATTATAACTTTATCATGCGAGAGTATAAAACGTTCGGTGAGACCCAAACTTAGCCCTTCCTTGCTTGTTTTTATTTAACTTTTCTTTTCTGTATAATCCAAAAAATTTTGTATATATTATTTTTTTTTTTTTTTGCAAATATATGTATTATGTGAAGGTCCAAAAAATTCCTTAAATATATACAAATATATGTACATATGTTCAAATTTTTTTCTTCTTTGAAATATGTTAAGGTTGGTATGGAAAAGGCTCTCGATGTAAAACAATTGACAATCACAGACATAAAATACTTTTATGGACAAAGTAGTATGTTTAAAAAACTGCTTAAACATACTACTTTGATAACTACCTTGATAACTTTGATATATTTCCAATTGAAACAATTGTGTTTGAGTTATAGCTTTAATTTATTAAATCTAAATATACCGGAAATCTTTCATCCCGAATAGTAAAACTTAATTTATTTAAACATGTTTCATGCTTCATAATTTGCTGATTATTAGCCTCATTCCGCCTCCTCGTCGCAATCTACACAGGGCACTATAAGCTCAGGAAGCACCTGTCCAACATGGGCATGGTCTCCTGTGCTAACTGCCGATTCTGCGACCTGGAGCAGGAAACACCAGCACACCTAATCCTGGATTGCTCAGCAATCTGTGGAAAAAGGCTTAAGGCCCTGGACCTTAGATCGCGGTCCATTACCTCAAATATTCTATCTATCTATCTATCTAGCCTCATTCTCATGCTTTCGCTAGTTGCTAAATGATGAATGCGTTGTTATTGTTGTAACGGCAGAATTCTGCCGAGTTGACAGTCCTTGGCCGGATAAAAATCCGGGTCCGTTCCGGTTTTCGTAGACCCGACTGTCGTGGGAACGGTGAATGCGTCTCTTGGTCCGCTTATCAACTGTTGGTAACCGACCAATACGCTTGATATCATCATTGTTTTGATGATGTTTCAAATAATTTGTGACTGTATTACGATGTCGGTACACTGAAGCAGCAATTCGACCAAGAATACTAATACGCAAATTTTTATGCCGGCTTCTTGCATTCAAATTAGCCTACTTCGCTATCCATCTGATAGCTCTTTACCATGTGGCATTTTTACTATAAAAATATTTAAAAGTAATTAATTATATTCCATATATTAGATTTCCATATATTAGATTTTTTACCTTAGAGTTATTTTTCTAACTATTAACTTAAGTTAAAAAACAAAATTTTATTTTGTCTGTACAGCTGCCATAGCACAAATAGATGAATTTGTACGTCTATGAAAAAACAAAATATGTAAATCAAGAATACTGCATATCGTAAAAAATATTTACCGTTATTAACTCACGAGGTATTCCGAAAAAAAATTGCACTCATTAAAACCAAATGCTCAAGCACAAAAGGCAGCCGTTTACATTTAAATGAATTTGTATATTAGCTCCAGTCATTTCATGAAGCATGTCAGCAATTTAACAGCAAGGGGATGGAAAAAGCAACCTGCGTCGCTTTTGTTTAATTTTGCTGTGATTAGAAGATCCTACGTGTTATTGTTATTGTTGTTATAAGAAAAAGTTTTTAGGATTAGTGCTATGATGAACGTTACTTGCTACTCGGATATAATTCTGCACCTTGGACAATTGTGCAAACCTTCCTTCACCTAACGTTAGTAAATATGTTTAATAATCCTCTGCATAGTAACGTGACGAATATAAATACAAGACGAAGAAGAAATCTGATGGCTTTACAAATATAAAAAATGGTTAGTGGTCCGTTTATTGATAAATAACAATTTCACTTTCCTTGTTTGAGATAATTCCTAAACATTAAAGTAAAGTAAACAAGCAAATTTGTTTGCCCCTAAAATCACACTTTAGTAACGGTTCGAACAGCTGATAAACGAAAGAACAACAATTGCTGATCGGCGATCAGTTGTTTTCAACCAAAAATACACGTTCGTACATACATATATACATAACGAGTCGAGTATTTATATTGTCTAAAAGAGCACATATAGACTCGAGAAGATGCTCACATTAAGAACTTTATTAAAACCCAATATAAATATAACGCTTCGTAATATTGCAACGGTAAGAAATTAGTCACTATAACTCTATTACATAAATCACAATAACAAGAACTAAATTTCTTATAGATCAGAGGTACACCCAATGCTGTGCGCATTGTTGAGGTTGGACCAAGAGATGGTCTACAAAATGAACCAAAATTGCTACCGGCCTCAGTGAAAATTGCACTAATCGACCAATTGTCCGAGACAGGCCTACACACCATTGAGGCCACATCCTTTGTCAGTCCAAAATGGGTACCACAAATGGGCGACAACACGGAAGTGCTGCGTGGCATACAAAAGCGAACGGGTATCACTTATCCAGTGTTAACGCCTAATTTAAAAGGCTTTGAAAGCGCTATAAAAGCAGGTGCAACCGAAGTAGCCGTCTTTGGTGCAGCATCCGACTCCTTTTCAATGAAAAATATAAATTGCACCGCAGCTGAGAGTATCAAACGCTTCCAACCAGTCATAGAGGCGGCACAAAAGGCTGAAGTTAAAGTACGCGGCTATGTATCCACTGTGATTGGTTGTCCTTATGAGGGGGCAGTGAAACCTGACGCTGTGGCAAAAATTGTGTATGCACTTTTCAGTATGGGTTGTTATGAGATATCATTGGGTGACACCATCGGCGTGGGTACACCTGGTTCTATGCGTCGCATGTTGGATGAAGTAGTGAAAGTTGTGCCGCCAAAGAAATTGGCAGTGCATTGTCATGACACCTACGGACAAGCGTTAGCCAACATTCTTGTCTCCTTAGAATATGGTAAGCGAATACAGCTAAATAATATTGGCAAGCTTCGAAAAAAACATATTTTTATCAATTTTCTTTTGCAGGCATAGCAGTTGTTGATTCCTCGGTGTCGGGGCTCGGTGGTTGTCCATATGCGCGTGGAGCCTCTGGCAATGTGGCCACAGAAGATGTAGTTTATATGCTGCATGGAATGGGTATTGAAACAGGCGTAGATCTAGAGAAATTAATAGCCGTCGGTCGTTACATCTGCAATGAGTTGGGCCGCCCATCAGAATCTAAAGTAAATCGTGCTTGGAAGGGAGCAACACCACAAAAAATAAAAGAGAAATGCTAACAGAAAAATAATGGCATGAATCCTTTGAAATTGACACCGAAACTGCGATAATGCTGCATTTATTAAACCAGCTTTACTAGTCTATGCATTTATTTTAATTGTAAAAATAAAGCCAAACTTCAATCCAGCAAACGATTTCAGAATAAGTAAAACTACAACTATTATAAAAAAAAATATACTCCAACCAAGTCACACCATATTATATGATTCTAATATAGCCATTCTAAAATTTCCTCGCATCTTTCATTGTATACACCGATATATCGCCCGACATTAAGGATAAATTTGCCAAGCTGCCATTGTTACGTTGCGTTGTGTTACCAAAACTGGCTTTGCTTGCGGTTTCGTTACGATTTACTTGGTTAGCGGACATTTTCAATTTACCTTCATGTCGCACCACTGTAGGTAACATTGCGTTCTCCAGATATTTCTGTATCTTCTTACCGCCCGGTATAGTAACTGGCGTACGCTCATCAACTATCTATAAGCATGCAAAACATAAATGATGGTATTAGTTCAAAACCTATTTAGTTTATTTAGTTCGATACTTACATGTTTAAACTCTGAAGAAATATATGCCTTCTTTGGCAAACTAGATGTTTTCGTGCCGGTATTTACCTTCAATGCAAATTTCGGTTGGTAGACTTTTGTTTCTTGCTCAAGTTCACGGAAAACAGTTGCATTATGTACATCCGGTCGATCCGTTCGCTGTTTTAGATTTGTCATTAATGGTGTGGTGGCAGTCTTTTTCATATAAGCACCGACTGGACTGACAATATGCGAAAATTGTTTGCTACCAGTTGGTTCCTTAAGGCGAGTTGGTATAGCTGAGACGGGTCTTTTAAATAGTTCAAATTTAGGTACTGGCCGCAAATCCATTTCGAAACGTTTATTTTTTTGTGCACTGCTCTGCGGTGTACGCCGTGGTGAAGACAAAAGTTGTTTTGCTGTGAGTGAAATTAACCGTTAATGAAATACTCGTAAATTTTAGATCGGACCAAAAGGACATAAAGCAGCATGGAAGCTTAACAGAGTTTGACAAAATCAAGTTTTATATGGAAATCTATTTTCTTTTTTAATTTGTGAAGGATATGATAGTTTCGGTGCAATCACCGAATTTTTTTTGTTATAGCCTACCTTTTGTACCCGTAACAATTGCTGTGGGTTTTACATTTAAAGCCTTCTTAGCAGGCGACGAATAATTGCTATTTTGCTTTTTTGGTGAATATGTGAATGTTCTTTCCTTCTCTTTTAATGGTTTTACTGTCATTGTTGCTGGAACCAATTCAACTTTTTTTACCATAGGTGTTTGTATATTCAAGCCAACATTTGGTGACGCCGTAGCAGCCATATATTGCATGCCTTTCTTCATCATATATTCTACTTCTTCCATGGTGTCATTGAAATGCATTGACTGTTCGCCACTTTCATCGAAAGCTTCGCCGCAATTTTCCTTGTCATTTTCAAATGAATTTTCCAATTCATCGGATTCGGTACTCTTCAAATCACTAGATGTGTATAAGCTCTTACATAAATATTTATCCGGGTTGTTATTGTCTTCCGCAACTGGATCACACTCATACTTGAATTCATCTTTAACCGTAATATTTGCTCTGTTATGTGAAGCAATCAATTCTTCCGATTCTTCATCAGATAGTAACTCAATAACGCCTACAGATTCATCAGAAGATGGACTTGGCGATTGATTCTTTGTATTTTGTACTATCTTAAGATCATCACTACTTATATCCACTACAGTTATTAGCTGTTGTTGTGGTGCCGCTAAAGTTTTATCAAGTTGTATCAATTCCAGACTTGCATCTAAATCCTCTAGTTCTTTCGACACGTTTTTCTCGTGTGTATTGGAATCTTTACTAACAGTGCTGGGATCTGTAGTTTCGTGTGCTGTATCGTAGTAGCTTGTAGCTGAGGTCTCACTGGTTTTTACAGCACTTTGAAAGCTGACATGTGATGATACATCACCATCAACACATGAAGCGTTATTAAAGTCATCTTCTTCATCACATTCCTCTATTATAGTGGAAGGTCGCAGCAGGCCAACCATTTTAATAGGTGATGTTTGTAAAGTGGTATCACCTAATATAGTTGTGTCCCACAATTTTGATGGTGCTTCTATATCTTCTAGTTGCGTGACATCAATACCCTTAAGCGGTGTCTCAATTTCTAATTGCTTTTGCTCTTGTACACACAAATCGTATAGTAAACGTTGTAACGACTTTGCTTCCTCATCGATTTCTTGAAGTTCTATAAATCCAGAAAATAAAACAGTTATGTGTGCATTAGTAAATACAAAAATTAGAAATTACCTTTTTTACATGGAGTTTTAAAATCATTTCCACTACGCTTTTTAGCGTCCTCTACAATTAGCTCCTTGTCAGCGCTATGTATATATTGAAACAAAGTACTGTTTGGATCAGAGGCAGTTTTATCACACATTTTTTCCAAAGCCATGAAACTATCATCTGATGAGCGTTGCCATTGAAGCGTCTGTTGCTTATCTTCAAACATACTCTCATAGTAAGCCTTTTCGGGCTTTCTTTTATCGTGTTGTACGGACGCAATTACATTGATTGGCTTATTTTCATCATTTTCAATTTCGAACATTTTTTCTTCAGTGTTTTGGATTCCTTCAACTCTTGTTGAATGACTGAGATGTTGTTCTTCAAAAGAAACTGTCTTTCCTTCAATGAACACTTGCAAATCCTCAGTTAGATCAAGACTAAATCTGTCAGACTGGACAGGAGTTTTAGAACTTGGCGTTAACGTGCTATTTTAGTGAAATGGAATTAAAAAATATTTTTTGTCTTTAAACTAACAATATTAGAAGCAATGTACAATGTTAATATGATTATAAAAAAATGCATAAAATTTAGCGTATTTCTAAAGGGTCAAAGATTTGGAAAAATTTCAAATTCTATTTACCATACATATGCTAATCTACAGGTATAAGTAGAAGATCATTCACACTCTCCAATATTTATTAATTACATATTATGAAATTGACATGCAAACATATGCATTTACCGTTGCATGAAAAGTAACTTCTTTACTTTTGCACGCCAAGCGCTATTTGCTTGAAATTTTTCCAATCCAGACATTTGTAATTAGTAGAGTTGAAAAAAAAAACCAAAATCCAAGATTTGTAGTTTCGCCGATCCAAACTGCTATGTGTTAATCGCAAATCAGATATGTATATTCAATTCATTTACTTTCAGTTTATTTACAACGCACTCACGGATTAGAAAAATAAAGAAAACGTTAAAATTGTAATAATTATATAGTAAATTCAGTGAAGTATTTAGCACAGATGAAAATAAACGTTGAATGAATTTTGAATAATGCGGCAAAGCCAAGTTCAACGAAAATATCGTAATGCTACCAACAGCAGCATGTCATAATTAGAGTTGCATTTTGGTAAAATCTTAGTAAACGTCTACATTGGACAAAGTATAAATTTATTAGTATTTTGGTAGTTTAGGTCACAGTATATAAGTCACAAATATGAAGTTTTTTTAAATCGTCTTATTTTGACGGAAATATGATTGGATTTTTATTTGGCCAAGGACTGTCAACTATAAGAATTCTGCCACAACAACAGAAATCAAAAAATTCGTACACTTTAATTTTAATTTTTATATTCACAACGACTTCAATAATTCGTCGCTACTTATTTATTTTCTATTAATCTTGCAAAAATATTTTTTTATCAATATATATCACAACACAAAAGAACTGAAGTCAGCCCTGTATGAAGAGATTAGAGAAAAAAGGATTTCTACCTTATAGAATTGAAAATAGCCCCACGGGACGGACCAGCGTCATATTTTTAAAAAATTCCCTTGCCTTACCAGCAATTTTATCACACACTTTTATTAATATATTAATATTGCTTTAAAATTTGATAAAATCTATTACTGTTTGTTGTATAACTTGAAAATCGCAATAACTAAATGATAATTTTGAATTCACCCAAAAGTTAAATATGGAATTAAAGTTAGTTTCGCCCCATTTTAAATAAAAAAAATGTGTAGAACGGATTTGGTGAAGTGTTAGTGGATATAACAGTTAAAAATATTTGTGTGAAATTCATTATAAATCAAAGAAAAACGCTCTTTAAATAGTTGAAGTTTTGAAATTTAGATGCAAATTTATAAAAAAAAAAATTAAATCAACAAAGTGTTCAAGTGATAGTGTGGAAATAGAGAAGTGTGAGTATTGACAACTTGAGAGCAATTTCTTGATCGCGTAATTATATATCTTATAATTTTTTAACGTTCCGTTATACTGCTTACGTTTTGTAACAAAAAGGGCTATCGTTGGTTATCACTGAACGTATGTTAGTTTCAGCGGCTAGTAGCTTTTTACATAGATAACGCTTTTTAAACATAAGTGGAAAAACATTTCTCATTGAAGGTATTTGCATCACCTTTTGTCATGATTTGCATAACGTTAAGTGATAAGATAATAATCGCAACTATAAAAATTTAATTTTAAATATATTAATTAAAAGAAAGAAGTTGAATTTGTTGACAGTATTAGTAATAATTATTTGCAACGATTACATTGTCAGAGTCACGTCGTCCGGCGAAACGCCTGCAACAATCAAATTTCTAGTATTCGAAAAAGTGCACTGTAGGTATGAAGTAAGATAGATGACATTAAAGGAGGTTAAACATAGATGTAAAATAAAACAAAAAAAAACAAATTTTATTATATTTACAAATAAAGTTTTTTTTTTAGGTTTGCATAATGGCTTTTACAAAATGTTTGCGACGAGTGTTGACCTCTATTGCCAGCTATCAGATGGCACGTCGTACCAGCGGCAGACAGGTACGCTATTTAATTGTAGGTTTTGGCTTGGCTACTTCTGCTTCTATTTCTTTCGTACACTTGGAAGCTGCTAGAAAACGAAAGCTTAATACTTCCATCTATATGGCAGAACCAATTACAGACACCAATACGCTGCTTGATAATGAGGATGATATGCGTACTAAAATGGAGTTAATGATAATGAGAATTCAAGCAGACGTATGTCGTGCTTTAGAGGTCGAAGAATACGCCGGACAAAAATTTAAAGTCGATCGTTGGCAGCGTGCAGAAGGTGGTGGCGGTATTACGTGCGTCCTTCAGGATGGTGAAGTATTCGAGAAAGCTGGTGTTAATATTTCTGTTGTAACTGGTATGTTACCACCGGGTGCTGTCCAACAAATGC